CGCGCACTGGGCGTCGTTGGGCTGGGCCCGGCCTGCGCCCTGGGAACCCGGCCTGGGGTCCAGGGCCGGGTGCGGGTGGGTCCCGGGCGGCCCTGGTTTGTTTTGCCGTCCGGGCTGCCTGGGGATGGGGTGGGGCCGGGCAGGTTGTGGGACTGAAGAGGTAGAGGTCGGGGCGGGGCCCTCTCTGTCCCAGTCCCCTTCCCGCCCCTGCCACCGGGTGCCTGGGGCCTGGCGACCTCCTAGGCCAGCTGGGCATGCGGCCAGGCCCTTCCTGAGGCCTCTAATGGAGCCAGTAAGGGCTCTCTGCCCTAGCCTGCCCCCAGCTGACGGCTGCCCCGCCTGCTTCTTGGGTCGGGTGCTTTGGGCTCTGGGTCAATAGTCGGAGAGCCGGACCCTTGTGGGCTGGGCTGTGAGGCACACTTCCGGCTGCCACGTGGGGGTGGTGTTTACAGCACACTGCGTTCTTCCTCCAGAGTCCTGGGAACTCATGCCCAGCCCCCAGCGCACGGGGCAATCAAGGTGACAAGGGTGCCCTGAGGAGCTGGAAGCTGACTAGCCCTGAGGGAAAGAGGGGGGCACCTCTGTGTCGTATCCAACCCCCCCCCCAACCTCGTGCCAGTGCTGGAGCTCAAGGCTGGAGCGCTACCATCTGAGTCTTACCTTCACTTCTGGTTTTTCTGCCAGTTAACTGGACATTTATGCCCAGGCTGGCGATCCTCTCACCTCGGCCCTCCTGAGTAGCTAGGATTATAAGCCTGTGCCACCAGTGCCCTGTGTGCCTTCCCTTCTTCCGGAGGCCAGTCTGCTGGCTGGTCCCAGGACATCCTTCAGAACTGTCCCTGAGCTGGCCACCACCCCTGAGATTCTTACAGGTGTCTTGGGCAGCCTCCACCGAAAGGAAGGCACTAGCTGAGAACCCCTGGCTTACATGCTCAACTCTTGATCCAAACTGGGTCCTCGTTTTCTCCCCCAAAGCCCTCCTCTGTCTGGCCACTCTGGTATTGGCCTGGGCCAGCACCCACTGTCCTCTAAGAGGTGTGCTGGGATGCCTGTCCATGGCTGCAGGGGGACGCAGTGTTAGTCTCCAGGAGGCAGCCCCCTGCTCTCTCGGGCTGTGACCCCTGCACTGGGCTGGGTTTCGTGGGTCTAGAGCAGGCCAAGTGGGTGAAGGCTGAGGCTGGCCGGAGCTGGGCCTCCGCACCCTCCTCTGCTGGGCGTCCTGCCACACCACACGAAGCCTAATGACTCACTGGGTCAGGCAGTTGGGAAATGCCGGGCAGAGGGCAGGTCCCAGTACCTGTTGACCGCCCTGGACCAGGCCCTGTTGTTTGGCATCCTGAGCCCCTCTACCCAGGGACAGGTCACAGAAGTTTCAACAGTGGTCCAGGCCCCATCAGGGCCACGGAGAACCCCAGGGCTAATGGGGAGAACAGGAACCTAGCCACAAAGCTATGGGGAAGGAGTGCTGGCCCCTGATCCTGGCCCTGCTGCCCTAGGTGAGGCAGGCGCCAATATCATTGAGGTCTCCAAGGAGGCCCGGAAGCGGTTCCTGGGCCCCCTGCATCCTTCCTTCAACCTGGTGAAGACCATCCGAGGCTGCCTGCTGAAGATCCTGCCTGCTGACAGCCATGAGCGTGCCAGTGGACGCCTGGGCATCTCGCTGACCCGTGTTTCAGATGGCGAGAACGTCATCATATCCCAGTTCAACTCCAAGGAGGAGCTGATTCAGGTGAGCTCTGGTGGCTCTGGTGGTTCTGGTGGCTCTGGTGGTTCTGGTGGCTCTGGTGGTTCTGGTGGCTCTGGTGGTTCTGGTGGCTCTGGTGGTTCTGGTGGCTCTGATGGTTCTGGTGGTTCTGATGGTTCTGGTGGTTCTGGTGGCTCTGATGGTTCTGGTGGCTCTGGTGGCTCTGGTGGTTCTGGTGGCCCTGGTGGCCCTGGTGGCCCTGGTGGCTCTGGTGGCTCTGGTGGCTCTGATGGCTCTGGTGGCTCTGGTGGCCCTGGTGGTTCTGATGGTTCTGGTGGCTCTGGTGGCTCTGGTGGTTCTGGTGGCTCTGGTGGTTCTGGTGGCTCTGGTGGTTCTGGTGGCTCTGGTGGTTCTGGTGGCTCTGATGGCTCTGGTGGCTCTGGTGGCCCTGGTGGTTCTGATGGTTCTGGTGGCTCTGGTGGTTCTGGTGGCTCTGGTGGCTCTGGTGGCCCTGGTGGCCCTGGTGGTTCTGGTGGCTCTGATGGCTCTGGTGGCTCTGGTGGCTCTGGTGGCCCTGGTGGTTCTGATGGTTCTGGTGGCTCTGGTGGCTCTGGTGGTTCTGGTGGCTCTGATGGTTCTGGTGGCTCTGGTGGTTCTGGTGGCTCTGGTGGCTCTGGTGGCTCTGGTGGCTCTGGGGCTGGGAGGCCCAGTGTGACCCTGGACCTTTGCTCACCTCCCTTCTGCTTTGCCCTTGCAGGCCAATGTCTGCAGCACTTTCATCCCCGTGTACTGTGGCCTCATCCCTCCCTCCCTCCAGGGGGTGGTGAGTATCCCGCCGGGCTGTGCCCTGTGTGAGCCAGCAGATCTGCTGGCACGGGACGGCGGGGGAAGGGCCGTGGCACCCCCCTGCTCCAGCCCTCACTCCGCCACTGCCTCTTGCTTCATTTCCTATTACTCAAGAGACAGAGTGGCTCTGGGGATGTGCAGTTCCCATTGCTGTCCCCCCTGCCACTGATGGAGTACCCAGCACCTAGTGGGCAAAAGGCCCCAGTACAGCAGCCCCCTGGTGTGGAGACAGCACAGGCTGCAGGCCCTGACCATGCGCCTGTGTGTGCAGCGCTACGTGGACGGCGGCATCTCAGACAACCTGCCACTTTACGAGCTCAAGAACACCATCACCGTGTCCCCTTTCTCGGGCGAGAGTGACATCTGCCCACAGGACAGCTCCACAAACATCCACGAGCTCCGGGTCACAAACACCAGCATCCAGTTCAACCTGCGCAACCTCTACCGCCTCTCCAAGGCCCTTTTCCCACCCGAGCCCATGGTGAGCCCGCGCAGGGCTGTGGGCTCTACAGCCCATTTGCACTCAGCACTGAGGAGAAAGCTCGCACAGAGATGTCTTCTGAGAGCCCAGGTTGGGGCGGATGGTCTAGCCTCTTCCGAGGGCCGGGGTAGCCATGGCCTGCAGGTCTTCTCCTAGGGAGGCAGCCTGTCTGTCCAGGGTCTAGCTTGGATGTTGTGCTGGACCAGGGTTGTGGTGGCTGGAGAGCGGACGGGGTGGAGGCGGCTGCTGCGGGATCCAGGGGACCGCGGGGCTTATCTGGTTCCCTCTACCTTAACGTGCCACAGGTGCTTCGAGAGATGTGTAAGCAGGGTTACCGGGACGGCCTGCGCTTCCTGCGGAGGAACGGTACGTGGGCAGGCCAGCCAGCGCACCTGTCAAAACGTGGGGTGGGCAGAACTGGCGCTGGGCCGCCCCGCCCCGTGGCCAACCACCTGGGAGCTGATCTTGACTCTAGAGTGGTTTCCTTCCTCCCCCTCCCCCTCTCCAGGTCTTCTGAACCAGCCCAACCCCTTGCTGGCGCTGCCCCCCACCCCTCACCATGGCCGCGAGGAAGAGGAAGCTGAGGAGGCTGAAGGGGCTGAAGAGAGGGTCCACCTGGAGGGCCACTCGCAGCCCCCCGGGGAGGATCACATTCTGGAGCACCTGCCAGCCAGACTCAATGAGGGTGAGCCACGGAGGGGAGGCGGGTGGAGGGGGCCGGGCCAGGGGAGAGATGGCCAGCACAGCAGCTGCGGGCTGGCCCCACATCCCCAACCAGCTGCCAACCTCCTGCCACAGCCCTGCTGGAGGCCTGCGTGGAACCCAAAGACCTGATGACCACACTCTCCAACATGCTGCCCGTGCGTCTGGCCACGGCCATGATGGTGCCCTACACGCTGCCGCTGGAGAGTGCCGTGTCCTTCACCATCCGGTGAGGGTGGGGAGCGCGCCAGGGGAGAGGGGCTGGACCCGAGCAGGGGCTCACTCGGGGACCAGGGCGCCCGTGCCGGGGGCCCAGCCAACAGGTGGGCTGCAGCCTCTAAGGGGTGCCTCCTGACTATCCTCAGCTTGCTGGAGTGGCTGCCCGACGTTCCAGAAGACATCCGGTGGATGAAGGAGCAGACGGGCAGCATCTGCCAGTACCTGGTGATGCGCGCCAAGAGGAAGCTGGGCAACCACCTGCCCTCCGGGTGAGCCCCCTTGGCCGCG